ATGCCTGCTGTCAGCACACTTGGCCAGTGTCAGATTTTGGAGGACTCCAGCCGGGGACTCCAGGGTGTAGGGGGCTCCCGCAGCACCCGCAGCTCCTGTTCGAGTGCCTGGTTCCTCCGGTACATGTCCATGTAGCCCCCCTGGATTTCTCGCTGGTAGCGCAGCACCCTCTCCTTTTCCTCCTGCCAAGTCTGCCGCTCCTGCTCGAAGCGCAGCGCCTGCTCCTGGCCACGAAGCCGCTCTTGCAGCAGCTCTGCCCGCAGCTGCTCGGCGGCCCCTTCGCTGGCTTCACTGCCTCCTGCCTCTCCTAGCAGTCCCCGGCTCTTGCAGTCATCTGTCTCGCAGATGCCTGGAGCTTCCTCCCGAGGCGCCTGCTCTTGCAGGCTGCGCACTGCCTCCCGCAGCCGAGCCAGCTCAGCGTCCTGAGCCTGGGCTTGTGCCCTGCTGCCCCGAAGTTGCGTCTTCAGACTGAAGATCTCAGCTAGCTTCTGTGCCAGCTCCGCCTGGGCTTCCCGAAGCTGCTGTTTCAACAGGCTAATCTCCGCGGTCTTCTGGCACACCTGAGGGTAGGGACAAATCGTGAGCACAGTGTAGGAGAGGCAACAGGATACGGGACCAGGGCAATAAGACCAGGCATCAGCCTATGATGTGTCCTACCTCCCATCGGGCTTCCTCCTCTGGCCGGGCATTAGGGTCAGCCTCCACTTGGGGACCAGAGGTCCGAGGCTCTGGGGCCAGGCCCTGTTGAGCCCGCAGCTCCTTGCGCAGGCGCCGCTGCTCCTGTTGGGCCATAAACAGCTGCAGCTGGAGGTTACGCTCGCTGCGCTCAGCTTTCTGGGCCACCTCATGCAGCCGTTCCACGTACAGGCGCTTCAGTTCAGACAACCACAATCGCTGGCGCTCCTCTAGCACCTGCAGAGGGGAAGAGGAACTGGTTAGCGGTGGGCACAGCCTTGCTCAGATTTTCACAGTTGGCCTGCCCTCTAAAAACAATGCTCACTTGTGCCCAAGGCCTGCCATTACTAATGTCTTATGCACCTAGGCCACAGAGCCCAGCGTCCCGGCCACATGAACTTCAAACCCAAAGAGGCTCTCCACAGATAGTGTTACTAATACAAGGTCCTCAGAGAGGCTGCCTGGCTCCCTCCTACACAATTCCCAGGATCAAAGTCACAGGGCATCCCTGATGTGTAGTTGAGGGATAGCTAAGAGTAGAATTCTCTTTCTTTTCAGTGCTAATCTAACCTAGGGTCTCACACTCGTTAGGCAAGCACACTACCCCTGAGCTATAGTCCCAGCCTACAAGTTTTTTTCTTGTCTTCCTCTAAGAGCAATAGGAGCTGTGCAATGGTGGCACACGCCTTTAATCCCAGCACTCGAGAGGCAGAGACAAGCGGATCTCTGTGAGTTCGAGGCCAGCCTGGTCTACAAGAGCCAGTACCAGGACAGGCTCTAAAGCATTAGAGTAAACCGTCTCGAAAAACAAAAGAAAAGTCTGGTTAAAAGCGATGGGAGAAAGGGTGCCATCAGGGGGGTAAACTCTGATCTCACTGCTCCGGTCCCATCCTCTGCTGCCTCTAACATACGGCTGCCCCCCAATATCACACTATGCTTAGGCCTTGTTCATGGTTTGTCCCCACCCCCAGCTGTGCCAGCCGTCAGAAGTTAATCTGGCCTATATCTCAATGCCAAGGAACAAACCAAGCCAGGGCAGGGGTTCCCTCACCTGAGTAAAGGGGTTAGAGACATCCTGGTCACCGAGGTCCCTCTTGAGTTCCTCACAGGTCTCAGGCAACACGGCTACCTCCTCACCAGTGGGACAGGAAAACTCATATGGGGGAGGTGGCTCAGGCAGGCAGCTCAGTACAGCCAGAGGTCCAGACTCCTTGGGGCTCCTTGAAGCACGGTCCAATGAGCCCCCAAGGTGATTAATGTGGCCCAAGGAGGAGCTGAAGGGGCTGGAGCTAGTGCCTGGACTACGGCCAAAACTCCCCCCACTGGAAGAGTCCGAAAGGCTGGGCTCAGGGCCACCTTCATCTAAGCTGAGGGCATGAAGCAACTGTGCACGGGCTTGACTGGCCCGAGGCCCAGGACTCAGAGGTGGGTGGCAGGCCAGCGTGTGCAGACTACCATTGCTTCGCCACAACTTCTGCCCCTTGTGGGCTGCCAGGCTCTGCATGGACAGGAAGCCTTTCCCGGTGCCCACAGGAGACTTGAACACCGACGGACGGATTCGGCACTGTCAGGAAGAGAATGCAGGCGTGAGTTGAGCTGGCCACTCTTTTCTGCCTACCTGATGTCCCTCGGGATCCCCTCTGAGAATACAGGGCACACATCACAGGGAGGTCACAGGGAGGCAGTGATCATGCTTCAGGCTGGCCCATATGGAGGAGACTTCACACACCTCAGCCTGCCCTCGTCTACCGTCAGGGCCTCCCGGCTGACCACCCCAACATCACGGTTTCCAAGTCGGGCCTAATCCCCAACAGCAGTGATGCACCTTGTCGAAGCGACCCCGCTCAGGCAGGGAAGTCTTGCTGAAGTCACCGGCCCGAGGATGCTCCCGGTAGTAGAGAGTGGCATAGTCCGGCTCATTCCGAGGTGCTCGCTTGCTGCTCTTGCCGTCCTTCTTGGGGAGATGCAGGTAGCTGAAGAGTTCGCGCTGGCCCAAGCCTTTCCGGAGGAGCCCGTCAGCCTGCCGGGAGCCCCGGGACCCAGCCAGAGCGGCACGAAGTTCTTCAGGGGAAAAGTCCTGCCGTTCCAACAGGCTACCTACGCTGCCCATGGCAATGCCAGCAGGGCCTGAGGCCGTGGCCATGAAGGTTCAGCAGGGCACAGGCAGCTGATTCTGGGAATCAGAAGGCTCCATTAGTGGAGGCAGATGGGCACTCAGTACCCAAGTCCCCAGATGCTCTAAAACCAGACACTTGCCATCTGTCGGTTCCCCAGGTTGCCCAGGCCCAGCAGAGGCAGATACGCATGAACGGGACAGGACTCCCAGAAAGGAACACAGAACACGGTGTCAGACCAAGTCGCTTCCACCGCGACACCTGAAGGAACAGCTCCAGACAGGGGTCTGGTGTGCGACGCAGAGGCAAGGCAGGAAAGGGGAGGCCCTCAAGCAGCAGGATGGGGCTCCCCTAGAACTGGGCCAGCAAAGGGTGGAGGGTGAACTCAGGCACTGTCTGACCCATGAACTCTGCTTACTTCTGACAGGTTCTCCACCAAATTTGTGGTATGGGGAGCAAGCATAGTGAACCAGGGCTGGAGGAGGTCTGTTTCCCTGTCTTCTCAGGGGGAAAGCCCCTCTTCTCTCAAAGGGTCAGAGGTCCCCCCCCCCCCAGGAAACATCTGGGTGGGTGGGGCTTGGGGGAATACAGTGGGAGGGACACAAACAGGAAAGGCCCAAGGGGAGGAAGGATGGTGATACACACAGGAAGGGCCTAAGGGGAGGAACAATGGCTCCTGTTTCCGGAACAGGTGTTGAGGCCCAGGCAATGATGGGAGGCAGAGGGAAGAAGCAGCCATTCTCTGTAATGCCACTGGTTTCTGCTGCTAGCTATCACCAGCCAGGTCCCCAGGACCTGGATGCTAGCAGCTGTGACCTTAGCCATACCTAACCGCTGTGGGCCTTGTCTTCCTCGGGAGCAGAAAGGCAGTGACAGACAACATTTATCACTTAGGGATACTGAAAGAAAGAGGTAAGATAACTCGACCAGGCACCTAGTCCAGGCCTGGCCTGAAGCCACGGTCAACACAGAATACCCGCGGCCGAGCTTAGTCACCCACTTCAGCTCCACACCAGGGGACCGCGCTGATGGACTGTCTCTCACATGCTCTGGGGCCCGTGCCACACCCATCGCCTGGCATACGTTAAGTGCAAACAACTGGCAGTGAATGGCACCTTTTCTGCCTCCCACCCACCCACACACAGCTGCTCCCAATGCCAAGCAGATGCCTGGCAGGCAGGCTGCCACTGGGAGTACCCACCACCACCCACCCAATACACTTCTGGGACACCCACTCCCACCTCAAACAATGGTGGTTAGGAGGCTCCATCCTCAACCATTTCCAGGCTTTGTGTTTAGGGAAGACAGAGCTCTCTCTGGTAGAGGGAGGGTAGGCCTTGTCCCTACCCCATTCTATAGCCCTCAAATGCACCCTTGGCAAAAAAAAAAAAAAAAAAAAAAAAAAAAAAAAAGTCGTAGCCTTCTGCCTTCTCCTGAATAACTTTCTTTTTTTAAAAAAATATTTATTTATCATTTATTATGTATATAGTATTCTTTCTGTGTGTCTGCTTGCAGGCCAGAAAAGGGCACCAGACCTCATTACAGATGGTTGTGAGCCACCATGTGGTTGCTGGGAATTGAACTCAGGACCTTTAGAAGAGCAGGCAATGTTCTTAACCACTGAGCCATCTCTCCAGCCCCCTGAATAACTTTCTTATACCACTCAAAGTGGGGTGCCAGCCTGAGTTTGGACCCCCTGCCCAGGCGCACTGAACAGAGGGATGTCACAAGCCATGTAAACTCAAGAGATTCAACCAGGTTACAGATTACTGGAGCCGGGGCTATGACAGTAACATGGCACTTTGTAGACTCTCAAGGAGACTATGGGTCCAGTAGCCCCTCCTTTTAAGAGGCAAGTTCTGGGAGACTCACAGAGCTAACCAGTATGAGGACGACACATGGGATCCCAATGCCAGGGCTGCCAAGTGTCTAGCGGGACTCAGGATGTCACCCACAACCAAAAGAACTAGGATGGGGTCACTTTGCCTCCTCATTCAACACTGCCTCGCCCTGACAAGCCTACCCATGAGACATCACTGCGCATGAGATGTCCAGCTATCCCTCTCTCCCTCCCCGGGGACCCTAGATGCCTGCCTCTGCATCTTGCCTTCCTTACCTCTGTCGGGATAACTGACAGAGGGGCAACAGGGGTGAAAGGGTTTTGTGAACGGTTAAGTCCCATGTGCCCAGGAGTTGGGGACATTGCCAAACATGCCCACTTCACTCCAGACCCACATATCCTTCCTCTCTGCGGATACTCACTGCCACTCCCAGGAGAAAAAACTGACACTCCATGGCACCCGCCAAAGGGTCACGGGTCCGGGGATGAACCAGCGTGGCCACACGCCAAAACTAAGTAAATGGCTTTATACAGAACACAGAGAGTATCAGTCCCACAGAGAAACGTGTGTTAGAGGACAGTCCAGCAGCGGATAGCACCCTTTGTACAGGCCACCCACCATCCACCCACCTAGACAAGGTCTCGCGTGGTGCTGCAGTCTGCCCCATCAGTAGGGCTCTGAGGCTCCAGGCCACCCAGGTCTCAGTCTGGAGACAAACCCCTTTCCTGAAAAACCCAACCTACCTCTGCCCCTCCCCCAACATGCACATTCCTTCCCAGTTGCTTAGAAGCCTTGAGATTGCCTGCTCAGACCAGGGCAGCTGTGCAGGCTCTCTATGGCCTGTGATTTGGTTGGTGGGGGTGGAGAGAACTGGCAAATGTCTCACAGCCTCTGGGGGACCAGAGCAGAAAGAGGGGGTGCCTGGGTTGTGCTGCCATAGTAGGGTACCTCTCTCTCTCTCTTTCTCTCTCTCTCTTTTCGAGACAGGGTTTCTCTGTAGCTTTGGAGCCTGTCCTGGAACTTGCTCTGTAGAACAGGCTGGCCTCAAACTCACAGAGATCCATCTGTCTCTGCCTCCAGAGTGCTGGGATTAAAGGCGCGCACCACCACCGCCAGGCTAGGGTACCTATCTTAAAGCCCAGGGGCTTCATTCCTGCCTCGCTCTGCCCCAAGGTTAGCCAGCAGTGCAGAAATCCCTAAATAGAAGTACACAGTGGGACACCCCAGCATCAGGCCCAGGGTACCTCTTCAAAACACACCCGGGAGATGAATGTGGTTATTTTTTGCTTCACAAGAGGAAACACAAGGAGATGAAGAGGTAAAATGATGTGACCAAGGTCATGTTCAGCTGCATAGGAGGAAGTGCCCTGGCTTCCTAGACGCAGCTTTCCCTGCATTTCCTTTGGCTTGGGGCACCTCAGCCTCTGTGTGGTGGCAGGAGTAAAGTCAGACTGAACTGCCATTATTAGTTAGTCCCACCAGAGTGCCCCAGGGGAGGGTCACACCACCTGCTGGGGGGGGTGGGATCAGCCCTTCTGAGGGGTGTGTCTGCAGCTGCCCCAAAGGAATGAGCCTGGAATGTCCCAACTCCAAAAATGGGGACAGCCTGAGAGGGGGTGGGGGTGGCTGGCATACCCTGGCCCCTTGGCAGAATTATTGCAATTTGCTTAACGCACAGTGCTCCGGGGTTTCTCAGCTCTTGTATTTCATAATGTCACATCATCCCCACAGCAGTCGGTGGACACAGACAGGGCAGTAAGGATCCTATTTAGAAATAGGCTTGGACGGAGGAACAAGTCGCCTAAGATCCCACTCTGAGGGCCAATCTGGATTCCCACAGTAAAGCCCTCTATACTACACCCAGCTGTCCCAGCTAGGGGTCACCTTCCACCGGCACACGCTGCTGTGTAGCCTGCCCAGCCCCCATTGCTCGTTCCTCCCAAGGGCACTTACGGCTAGGCTGGGTGGGGTGTAACTTCACCCCCTCCCAGGGATCTCTCCTAGCCCACCCTGGGGGAACAGGGTAGGAAGAAATAGTGGAAGTGGCGCTGGCTTAGGGACTCTAAGCTCTGGAAACTGCTAGAGGCGGTGTCGGGAGCTGGCTGGTCGCTTTCATTCACAGTCTCGCACATACACACCCACACACGCAGCCAGTGGCAGAGGAGCCCTGCTTGGGAGAGCCTGGAAGGAGGCTGATCACCAGGTCCAGGAGGGCCTCCCGCCTCTGCTCCCTCCTAAGGATAGTCATGCCCAATCTGTATCTCCTAGGTGGAATGTCGCACGCCCCCATCTGAATAGAGCCAGGGTCCCGGTCCTCATTTTTGTGGAAGGCTGTGGTCAGAACTGGAACAAAGTCCCGGACCTTGGGACATCCCCTATCCGCAGGTCCCCAGCCAAGGACCAGAAGAGGCAAGGGGCTGGGGCAGGAAGAGGATACCTTGTGGGAGAGGGCAGGTGAGCGGTGTCCCCGGGAAAGCGGCAGAGAAAACAGGTTGGCCGCCTCGGAGGAACTACGCCCGGGTAGGCAGTGGAGGAAGCGAGAGATCCCAGAACTGCGGGAGGCAGAGCTACCCAGGGGGGCGGAGTGGGGTGCGCACATCCCGCCCGCTGTCGGCCGGGCTTGCCTGGAGCTGCTGCAGGGGGCGGAGGCCGAGGTCAGACTCCTGCGCCAAAGGCGCCTGCCCCTCCTAGCTGCGGCGCAGGGGTCTCAGGCGAAGCTCCACTGAAAGCCCTTTTACAGGTTAGCCTCGTGAGCGGGAGCGGAGGACACCGGGACTAGCACTGCATCCTCCCACCCTTCCACCCTGGCCCGCGCCGGGGTCCCAGAGCGACCTCGGCGACCTGCCCAGCCCACTTACCATGCTGGCGCCGAGGATCTCAGGGCGCGCTGCAGTCCCTGACTCGGTCCCGAACCTTTCTCTTCGCACGCTCTTCGGGCAGGCGCGGGAGCCGGATCGGCAGGCAGAGGACGCGCCGGGCGACAGTCTTGTGTTGGCCCCAGAGGCGGAGGGAAAACCCGGCCTGACTCACCCGCCCGGCGCGAGCCCCAGAGCCCGGCCCGGCCCCCGGATGTGGGGGGCGGGCACCGGCGCCGCCCCCGAGCGACCTGAGCCCCGCCCCGGCTCACGGGTGCAGCGGAGCCAGGTCCCCCGGTGTGCGATCACCGGTCGCTTGCGTGCAGCAGCTCCGCAGACCCGGCTCCGGCCGAGGCTCCTGAGCCCGCGCCTCCCGGCTGCTCCTCCTCCTCCAGTTCCGAACCTCGCCCGCCTCGCTCGTTCAGTTTCCTTCCAGAACCAGCTTCCAAACTGGCGCGCTGGGGTGGGGCGGTCACGTCTCTGCTTCTGGCCGCCTCTTTCTCAGGTAAACACCACTTTCCTCCTTTGAGACTAAACCCAAGTAGCAGCGCTCTGAGAGCCGAAGAGGTGTAGTCGGAGTCTCCAGTGGTTGGCAGCTGGACTGGGGGCAGGGCTTTTATTTTGGAGGGAGGTTAGTTTGTCTCCGATGCCTTCTAGGGGCGGCAGGTTCAGATGCCTTCAGGGGCCAGACCGATAATGTAAATGAGTCACTTGGGCTGGGTAAGGCAGTAGCGGGACGGAAACAGAAGGCTGGACACCCAAACTCGTTCAAGTTCAGGAAGTTAGAACACCTCTTCTCCCTTGAAAAGTTAACACAAACGGGTGAGGGTGGAGATAATGCTCTGTGGTTTAGAGTATCAGAGGACTCGGGTTTGGTTCCCAGCACCCACGTGGTGGTTCACAACCCTCTAACTCCAGTTAGTTCCCTGGGATCCAGTGCCCCACCTCTGGCCTCTGGGTGCACTACACGCACGTGGTGCACATTTAGTCATACACACACAGAGTAGCCCTGGCTGACCAGTCTGGCCTCGAACTCAGAGATCTGCTTGCTTCTGCCTCCCCGGCCATGTTTTCTTTTTAAGATTAAAAAAAGGGGGGGGGGTGGCGGCTGGCAGCGCACGCCCTTAATCCCAGCACGCGGAAGGCAGAGGCAGGTGGATCTCAGTGAGTTTGAGGTCAGCTTGGTCTACCAAGTGATTTCCAGGACAGCAAGGACTGTTACACAGAGAATTCGTGTCTTGGGGAGAAAAATAAGTTAAACATGGATTTAGGATACACCCAGCACTTCCATTCCTGGGTATATGGCAAAAAAAAAAAAAAAAAAAAAAAAACTGAAATCGGGTATGCCAACAAGTATTTATAGTAGTCAAGAGGACAAAAAATTTCAAACCCGGGGCTGGAGAGATGGATGGCTCAGCAGTTAAGAGCACTGTCTGCTCTTCCAGAGGACCTTGGTTCAATTCTCAGCACCTACATGGCAGCTCACAACTGCCAGTTCCAGGGTATCTGACACCTTCATACCAATGCACATACAATGAATTTAAATAAGTTGTTAAAAAATAGAAAAAAAAAACCCTCCATCGATTAATGAAGGGATAGTGTGGTCCATCCGTAAAGCGGAATATTATTTACCATAGAAGAGGAATGAGTGCCATCCCGCTACATCACGGATAAACCTCTAAAAGGGGATGCTAAATCTAAGAAACCTCCCACAAAGGCCACGTGTGGAGTGATTTCACGCATGTGAAGTAGGCAAGCCCTTATGGACAGACTGCAGACTGGTGCTAGATGCTGCAGGGAAGGAGAAGTGAGGAGGATTCCTTACTCCTTACTCCTTGTGGTTCATCTTGGTGTCAGGCGGTGGTTGCGACACTTTCTGCTATTCCTTTTAAAATGTCTCAGGGGGCTGGGTGTGGCTCAGTGGTAGAGCTTGCCCGAGGCCCTGCGTCCAGTTCCCAGTACCCCAAATTCAAATGGAAATGCTGTATCATGCGACACACGTCATTCAGGCAACAGAATGTCACCTGTGGCTCAACAAGTCCCCATTTGCAGCCTGTGCTTTCTGTCTACTCTTGGCAGTTTCCCAATAAAGGAAATGCGGGGAAGAAAACTCATTCACAGCTACTCAGTGTCTCGGCCGTGGGGGGGCCGTGGGGGGCTGCCCAGGTGTGGGGGGGTATTACCTGAGACAGACGCTTGTGGCAAGGACACTCTTACCATCTTGGGGCACTGAGGAAAGGCCTCTCTGGGTAAGTAGCCAGGAAAGTGCACCCCTGGTGTTGAGGCCCAGAGCTGGAGAAATCTGGACATGTTCAGGCGCAGGTGAGCTCTCTAGGGAGGCCAGAGCCCTGAAAGAGCCTCAAAGGCGGCACACAGGTGTGGACCCAGAAGCGCCTTACAGAGCAGAATTCGCAGCAGAACCTGTGCAAGCTTGTGTGCCGGGCAGGACTGTGCTCTCACACAAGCCTGCCTGTTGGTTGAAGCGGGGAAACTAGGATCGGAAAAGTTCATGAAATGGTTGTAAAGAATTAGCTGGCAGTGGTGGTGCACGCCTTTAATCCTAGCAGTGGGGGGGGGGGGGGGGCAGAGGCAGGCAGATCTCTGTGAGTTCAAGGCCAGCCCTGCCTACAGAGCAAGTGCCAGGACAGGCTCTAAAGCTCACAGAGAAACCCTATCTCGGAAAAAAAAAAAAAAAAGTCTTATCAAGAACATTCTTAAGGCGAAAGAGTGAATGCTAAATTCTAGACTTTTTTTTTCCACATAGGGCAGCTGCCCTTGAACTCATTTTGTAGCAGCAGAAGATGGATTTGAACTCCCGACCCTGCCGCTTTCCACATTACAAATACTGGGATTCTATGCTCTGTAAATACTTACTGGTTGTTATTGTTGTCTGCTCTGTATGCATTTGCATATAGGAGGAGATTGGAGGGCAACTTTGTGAAGTCAGTTCCTCTCTTCCTACCTTTGCATGGGTTCTGATGTTCGAACTCAGGTCCTCAGACTTGTACAACAAAAGCTTTGCCCCATCTGTAAGTGTTGATGGTAACTTGGGTTCAGTAAGACCCAAGTGCACCTTCCTCCCTCCCTTTTCCCTTTACTGGGCCCCTTTTATATTTACAAATACAGTAACCTATTCAAGTTCCGCCGGTTTCTTCCCCTATACCAGGCTACCATTGGAGGAGCGGGATGGTGGTGGTATCTCAGGCATCCTGGGAGGAAGGACTGGACCAGAGGCCCCACCCCTTGAGAGCCCAGAGGTGTTCAGAATGCACATGGAGGGCTGGAGAGAGGGCTCAGAGGTTAAGAGAACTGACTGCTGTTCCGGAGGTCCTGAGTTCAATTCCCAGCAACCATATGATGGCTCACACCCATCTATAATGGGATCTGGTGCCTAGAACACTATATACATAAGTTAAAAAAAAAAAAAAAAGAATGCACATAGGAGAGGGGTGGAGGTTCCTGGCAGAACAGAACACTCAGAACTGGCTTCAGGTAAGGATCCTGGCTGGACTGTGGGGCTTTGAGGCTAGAGCAGAGGACAGTCCGCTGAAGAGAGCTGTCATTTGGGGAAGCAAGAGAAGGTCAGGAGCCGGTTCCTTGCCCCCACCTTCTGCACCAGCTAGAGACTCCAGGCTGCTAAGACCATGCTCCAGCCTCTAGAGGGCTGGCCTGACAGATACTGCCCAGCTTTGAGCCCTTGCATGTTGTTACCCTGGTTACCTGGATGGGGAGTGGCAGGGCAGACGGGACCAGCTGACCCTGTAGGAAAGTAGGCTCAGTCACAATCCAGTCCCTCTTCTTCCCCTAACGCCCTTGTGTGTCACTTCATTGAATTCTTGGATGTCCTTGGTTTAACTTTCTCTGATGGAAAACTTGGGTTCCAGATGGGGGGGGAGGGGAGGGAGGATATACATGATCACATGATCTGCCTTTCCCCAAAGTACACCTCAGCGCTAGAAGCCCCAAAGGTTCTCTGTCTTTCTGAGGTTTTGGAGAGAAGGTAGGCTGGACAGAGGCTATCAGGAGGCCAGGTCTCCTCCTCCCACCCTAGTCTTGCCTCATGTGTGAGAGACTAGTTTCCAGTAAGCAGTTGGCCCCGGGGAGGGGGGAGTACCCACTGAACTCTGGTCACCTCTTGGGTTCATCCCGTATAGGTGAAGTCTCTTGTGCTCTCATTTGACAGATCTGTGGATTTGGCATGCAAGCCATGCTATTCAGATGCCAAGGACTGAGGCACTCCTGGCACCAGGCCAGAGGTGAAGTGAAACCGAATTCCCTGGGTGTACCTGTTTCCTGAATTGGCTAGCCTTGGACAACGTAACTTCTAAAGTTATCTGCTGCCTGTAAGTGCCCGAGAGAGTAGGATCCGAGGGCCACCCACGGGGAGTAGGAGTTTATCATACCTCTGGCTGTCACTTTTCTCCTTGACGGTTATGACAGTCTTTCTAGGCTCTTCTTCACCCTGCCCCAGAGCAGCCCTAGCCCACACATTTGGTTTCCAGTTCTCTGTAGCCCAAAAGATAGAATCTCAGCCTCAAGATCAGGCTGGCACACCACCATGACTCCCGTCACCGTGTCCTGGGCACTGCCTCAGTCTCCTCCTCTGGAATTGACTGGTTTGGGTGTCACCCCACTGCCTTCGAGGTCTCTCTTCCCACCCTCAACCAAAAATTGATCCCGCTGTCTCCACGTTGAGCCTTTCCTTCTCTCGGTTGCCCCTTTACCGCGCACCTGGGTCACTTGTCATCCGGTCTTGTCACTCCCAGGAAATAGCAAGCCCTGAGCATACAGGGACTCGTGCCCAGTCGAGGTCTTGAAGGCGTTTGGGAAATGCCATCTCAGCATGTTACACTGACTGCTGGCTTCTTTGAACCGAGGCCTGGGAACAGAGCCTTTACCCAGTGAACAGGCTGGACAGCCTTGTTTTTCAGTTTCTGACTCGGGGTCTTGTTATCTAGCCCAGGTTGACTAGAACTCACAGTCCTGTCTCTGCCTCTGGAGCTGAGAGTCCAGATGTGCATGGCCGCGTCTGGCTTCTGTATCTAAGGAGACAACTTTTGTTCACCATTCCACTGCCCCAAAATTTGTGCCACACCCATCCTTCCATCCCAGGAGCAGAGAGCCTGTGTTCTTTTTTGTAGCACCAATCATTTTGTGAAGAAATATAGTTTTCTCTCCTTTCGTTGGTTTTTTGAGGTAGGGTTTCTCCACATAGCCTTGGCTATCCTGGAACGCACTATGTATAACAGATTGTCCTCGAACTCACGGAGATCCACCTGCCTCGGCCTCTCAAGGTTTGCCACCATGCCCAGCCTTGGTGCTGGGGATTGAACCCAGGGCCTTGTACAAGCTAGGTAAATACTCTCCGAACGGAGCAACACATCCAATTTTCTCCTTTTAAAAAAAAGAAATGTGGCTGGGCGGTGGTGGCGCACGCCTTTAATCCCAGCACTTGGGAGGCAGAGGCAGGCGGATCTCTCTGAGTTCGAGACCAGCCTGGTCTACAGAGCTAGTTCCAGGACAGGCTCCAAAACCACAGAGAAACCCTGTCTCGAAAAACCAAAAATAAAAAAAAAAGAAAGAAATGTGTGTGTGTTCTATGTGTCTGACTGTATGTCCCTTGTGTCTCTGCAGCACTCAGGCAGGCAGAGGAGGGCCATGGATTCCCCTGGAGCTAGAGTTACAGGCAGTTCTACACTGCGTGACGTGGGTGCTAGGAGTCGAACTCAGGTGTCTGTAGGAGCGGCAGGTGCTTAGTCGCTGGGCACCTCTCCAGCCCCGGTTTTCCTCCTCTTAATCTGTCTAATGACAGTTTAATTAGTAGACCAACCAAGAACTCAGGAGGGCGGGGAGACGCCATTTGCTCTCACTACAGTCTTCTCCCGGGGCTGACAGTTGGTCGCACTCCCCTCCAACGCACCATCTGCCCCCAAAAGAACTTCGTGGCCATTTCCTAACAGGAAGAGGAGAAGGAGGAAAGGTGGCTTCTTGCTCTGGAGCCTGGTTTTGTAACTGCCTGGTGACCTTTCTGAGCCCTAGATTCTTGGTTTTGTAAAACAGGACAAATCACTAGATTAAGTTCACTCGGGTGCAAGAACTGGCATGATACGCAGACACTGGCAGCCCTGCAGCCCCCGCCCTTCACTCCTCGCTCCTCACCCTCCCTCCTCTTCTCCTTTGTCCCCTTGGAGCTGAGCCAGCTCTAGCCCCACCAGGAAGATTTGGGCTGTGTTGGTGGTCACTAACGACCTCGGGCCTTGCAAAGAGCAGGTTGGCAGATACCAAGTGGACTCTCCCGTAGTCCTCCTCCCTCAGTGACCCGGTGACCTGGGCAGCACCAGCAGGTTGTGGGTGGAAGCTGAGACCTGCCAGGACTTGCTCAGGTGCCTGCCCGAGGGCAGGCAGCTCTCAGACCTGCAGGAGCCAGCCAGGATGAGATCCACCCCCGGAAGTCCAAACTGCACGGCTGACCCGCTCCTGGGCCACAGGGAGACCTGGACCAGCCAGTCCAGGAGGAGCTGCCAGGCTAAGTGGTCACAGCACTTTGTTCCAGTGCTGAGGAGGCCTGGGATCCAGGCTTTCAAGGGTTTAGGACCTGGGTTGGGATCTGGCCTATGAGGCAGGGTCAGCACGCTCAGCCCTGCCTACTGAGCACAGTCAAGGGGACTAAGGTGGCACTTTGTATATGGGGTATATTCTCCCACAGTGTTTTAAATACCAGCTTAATAAAGTGAGCTTGGATTCTTCTGTATCATTCCTGACTACCAGTGAGTTTCAGGCCAGCCTGAACACAAAAACAAAATATGAAGTCATGGTCTGTGTTGATGACGACCTTCAGCTAGTCCTCCTAGGTGCATGCCCTCCTACCTCAGCATCCCGGGGGTGAAGCTAGGAGTACAGGGGGGGTACTCCTAGCTATTTACCTTTTTTCCTAAGAATTGAAGCCAGGGCCTCACATCTGCTAAACCCCTGTAACCAAACTGCACCCCGAGCTACACCCTTAGCTCTCCTGGGTTGTCTCAAAACAATTCCAAATAAACATCATTCTTTGTTTTGTTGTGTTTTTGAGATAGGGTTTCTCTGTGTAGCCTGGTTGTCATGGAACTCACTCTGTAGACCAGACTGGCCTCAAGATCACAGAGATCCTCCTGCCTCTGCCTCCTGAGTGCTCGGGTTAACATGCACCATCACTGCCCAGCTTTGTCTATAAACCTTTTAGGGAAGACATAATTGGTTATACTAATTATGCATTGTTTTAGGTGCTTGCTGGAAATTGAGCTCAGGGCGTTACATATACTAAATATGCTTTTTTAACCTTTGTGGTTTTTTATTTTTTAATTTTATGTGCATTAGTATTTTGCCTCCATGTATGTCTGTGTGAGGGTGTCAGATCTTGGAGCTACAGACAGTTGTTAAGTGCCATGTGGGTGCTGGGAACTGAACCCAGGTCCTCTGGAAGAGCAGAGCAGTCAGTGCTCTTAACCGCTGAGCCATCTCTCCAGCTCCTTAGTTTGTGTTTTGAGACAAGGTTTCACTGTAGCCCTGGCTGGTCTGGAACTTTTTATGTAGACCTGACTGGCTTTTAGTTCATAGAGATCTGTCTCCCTCTGTCTTTTGATTGCTGAGCTTAAAGTCACCCACCACTATTCCTGACATAAGCAAGCTTGCTACTACCAAGCTACACCACAGCCCTGCATTTGTTTTTCTCTATGACTTCACGGGCATGAAAAGGCCAAGCTGAGGACTGCAGGTGGGCAGCGTCTGGGGGTGGAGCCTCTGCAGTCAGGCACTCAGCCCTGCCACCCTTGACTACTGGTGAAGGAAGCAGGAAGATCCCTGCCACCCCTGTAAATTCCCTCAGAGGAAAGCCAGGAAACAATGACCTTTGAGGGTATCTGGGTAAGGTCACTAAGATATGGAGCCCTGCCTCAGCCCCCAAAGGCATACCCCTGTGAGGACAGGGGAACCTCAGCCTTGCCTGTGGTGTCGGGTCTCAGCTATGTGGCCACTCATACACCTCCCCCTTCCCTTCCCATCTCCTTGTGCAGTCTGACAGCCCGGCCTGAGTTCAGCCAGCCATGCTCTTGGGCTCCTCTCTCCGCTAAGTACCACAGTCCTTACAAGTCTTCCAAGCACCGCCTCCTCTCCCGTACATCTGGGTACCAGCAGGCAGAAGTTTATCCGGAGCCCAGTTCTGTTCTGCTTTCCTAACCCAGTAAGTGAATAGATGTGTCTGGCACATGGCCCAGCTCCTGGCTTCCTTCCCAAACCTGCAGCCAGACCATGTGACAGCCACTGCCTATCCCCATCCCCAAACATTCACCAGGCCCCACCCAGGAGAGCCAGACAGCTGCACACACCCTCACCTGCCTGGCACCGTCATCCTCTGGCCTGGCTCTCTCTCTGGATCTACCAGAACAGCAGCTTCCCCACGCTACCTCTGCCTGGAGCCCACCACACAGGTCCCTAGGCAGTTCTCAAGGCCTAACTTTTGTGATGCCCTTGGCATGACTGATGGGCACAGGACCAAGACTGTGGTACAGAGAAGGCCGGCCTGAGAGCTGGTGCTTGGTCTGTGCGCAGTCACCATCCCCTGGTACTTTCTTGTGGGGCGGATGGGGGTAAAGAAGGAGCCTGTAGGAACCGATGTCCTTGGGTCAGCTTGAATTGACAGATCCTTCATACCAATGTATTGAAGGATGCAGACTTGACTACTGCCTAATACAAGGCTCCAGATCAGTCAGCTGCCAGAGGTACCCCATTGAATGGGAAAAAACAAAAACCAAATACATATTTTTTTTATATACCACCCCCATCCCCTTGTTCAACCACTAGCTACTGGAGAAGTGTGACCTGAGGCTGAAAGCCAAGGTGAGCCCTGCAAGTGCTAACAGCTGGACACTGTCAGCTACCTCTGCAGCTGGGCAACGGGCCCTTTTAATATTATTATTATTATTATTATTTATTTTTTGGTTATTCGAGGCAGGGTTTCTCTGTAGCTTTTGGAGACTGTCCTGGAACTAGTTCTTTTAGACCAGGCTGGCCTCGAACTCACAGAGATCTGCCTGCCTCTGCCTCCCAAGTGCTGGGATTAAAGGCGTGTGCCACCACCGCCCAGCAAGCAGGCCCTTTCCTGAAGGAGCACGACACCGTGTCCCACCAAGTTACATCAGTTCTGTATGCCTGGCAGACAGAAGACTCTTAGGATGGAAGCTGCTTGGTGGTGGGGCTGTGGCCTTCCAGACCACAGCATTTGTGTGTGAAAGTGTGTATATGGCACTTGTGTGTGTGACCTTTATGCACATGTACAGGGCATGTGTCCTGCTCTGTCACATTCCACTTTATTCCTTTGGAAACAAACCATTCTTCCCTTTTTTTTTTTTTTTTTTTTTTTTTTTTGAGACAGGGTTTCTTGGTAGCTTTGGAGCCTGTCCTGGAACTAGCTATTTTAGACCAGGCTGGCCTCGAACTCACAGATATCCACCTGCCTCTGCCTCCTGCATGCTGGGATTAAAGGCGTGCACCACCACCACCACCCAGCTGGAAACAAACCATTCTTGCAGAGGACTCAAGTTCCATTCCCAGCCCTTGAATCAAGTGGTTCACAGCCACTATTGACTCCAGTTCCAAGGCCTCCAGGGACACCTGAACTCACATATGTTTAGCTACACTCACAGACACAAGCATATCACCTTAAAATGATGAGGGCTGGAACGATGGGAACTATGGCTAGGCTCACAGTCAAAATAAAATAATTTTTTTTTCATTTTATCTTCGAAGTTTTGGAGCCTGTCATGGAATTTACTCTGTAGACCAGGCTGGCCGCGAAGTCACAGAGATCCACTTCTGCCTCCCGAGTGCTAGGACTAAAGGCATGTGCCCACCTTCTGGCTGTTATGCCTACTTCTTTTTTTTTTTTAATATTTATTTATTTATTATGTATACAATATTCTGTCTGTCTATGTCTGCAGGCCAGAAGAGGGCCCGAGACCTCGTC